ACTACCACTACCACTACCACTACCACTACCACTACCACTACCACTACTGCTGCTGCTGCTACTACTACTAATACTAATACTAATACTACTACTTCTACTTCTGCTAGTGCTAGTACTAGTACTAGTACTATATAACTACTACCACCAGTACACCTACGACTACGAACAATACTATTTACAAATTACTGCTGATAACTACTTCCTGGGTGCGCATTTGCAGTGGTAGTAGTCGCCGTCGCCGTCCCCGTCGTCGTGGTGTTGGTGGTAAGTAGTAATAGTAATAATATAAGTAGCAATTAATTCCTAACTATATACTACTAGTCTAGCACTACCACCACCACCACCACCACGACGATGACGACTACTACTACTCCTGCTGCTAATGCGCACCTGCTACTACTACTACTGCTGCTGCTACTACTACTGCTACTACTACTGTTGGCGTTGTTGATTCTATTCACTCACCCGCGATTGTTGGCTAGGAGGAGGGGCCCCTGTTACTAACTAAGATCGAACATTATTATTGATGTATGTCAAGCTCATAGGGGGTATGCTCACAAGATTCAATGGAGCTGTTTTTAAAGGAATTTGGTTGGCCACAAAGGGATACAATCAAAACACGGCCTTTCATTGCTGGCTGCTGTCGGGAGCACCGGCGAAAACTCGAAAACCGAGGTTGAAAACGCGAAAACCACGTTCCAGCCGATACATATATATATATATATTGATATTTGTGTTGCTTACTTGTATTCTAATTTGGCTGGTTCTCGTTTTCTCGGTTTTCTATAGTACCTCTATATGGGGGAAATAACTCAATAATCTGGTGGGACTTCTCAATAATCTGGTGGGACTTCAATTAATTAATTACGGTGGTTGCAGTCTACTACCGAACGCCGCCTCAAAAGCGGAAACTGTTGGAATTTCGCAGGATAGTGTTGCAAAAATGCAGGATCCCATGAAACACAAACCAAACGTAGGTTTTGATGTGGATTTGTGCAGGTGCGGTTTGGTGTTCTATGTTTTCTATATATAGGTTCGCTAGAATATTTTGCAGTTTCTTGCTGCACAGCCATTTGGGACGCCATTGGATAAAGCGGTACCAATTTAAGCAGGGTTGTTGGCTTATCTTTGACCAAAAAAGAGTTTCTCCGTGAGGGGAGGCGATCGGTGCCAATCAAGCCGATCAACCACCCGGGGCGGCGATAAACCCTGAGTCTGGAAGCAGGACGGGGCGGGAGATCGAGTGGATGGCGCGCATTTTTGGCTCGGCCAAAGCACCTGCCGCATGCAGCGTTGGCGATGGCCCCTGGGCCGCATGGAACGACATGCATCGTGCGTTGACATGTCCAAGCAACTGCTACTATTGTAGCTTATTGTTACTACTAGTAAGGCACTTGTTACTAGTAGCGATGCACTTGTTCCTAGTAGCTTCTTGTTCCTAGTAGCTTCTTGTTACTACTATAGTAAGGCACTTGTTACTAGTAGCAATGCACTTGTTCCTAGTAGCTTCTTGTTCCTAGTAGCGATGTCAGGAGCCCCTAGTAACGTCCTTGCTCCCAGTAAGCGATGCCCTTTGCTTCTAGTAGCGTCCGTCTATTGTGCTATCCGGCTGTTGCAAACATCTTGCCAATCTCTAATCTCTCCAACATATGAAAACATCGGCCATTGCCCTGTGTCCAAAATCACCCTTCTCAGCCACCAACGGACTTGCATTTTCAACACCTCTGCGTGCACACACGAAAGTAACCCCTCGAAAGCCCCCAAAGGCAAGGGAATAAAAGCCTCTGGGGCAATCATGTGCATGTCCCTGCGGTCTTGTCCTACTTGATGGTTCCAGCACGCGTCAAATAGACTTTCCCAAAATGAAGTCGATGACGATGCAAGTCAGGGCTGGCCTTGCCCGTTGCTATCGTTGTTCCCAAAAGTGAGGCGAAGCTCCTGAACCGGGCAATCGCACCGACCATGGCATTTCATTACTAGACCCAAAGTGCCGAAGAGCTGTTCAACAGCTGCTTTGAGGACTGCAGTCTGTCCTGAGGTATCCTTCCCACTGCAGACCTCAGCAGCGCTTGACTAACGCAAACATGAATCGGTATGCAGCCTGCTCTGCCTTAGCTGAATCACCACCACGATTCAACATAAATGCAACGAGTTGAGCTAATGAGTTTCCATTGGCTTCCCAACACCCGAAGTCCGGCCGCCACATTGGCTGCCTTGCGTGCAAGTTGAGCTTGAGTCCTTTCTACGGCAGTGGCAGTGCTTTTGTACTAGATTGAAGCCGCTGCCTGTGAGAGGTAGTAGGACAAATCAACGCCCTCGCGCAAAACGCCATTCTCCTAGTCCAGAGTAGACATGTTTTGACTGTAAAGGAGGCCACCGTTGGTGCTAAACCTCCGCTGAAGACCAGTCCTCTTCTTCGTAGACACGTAGTTCCTTGTCTTTTCTTCTTGGAGAAGCTCCTGCAAATTGA